TAAAATTTTCACCATCCTTATTAACTTTTTTCCTATCCGATGTTTGCATTTTTACTCTAAGGGAGTACTGACTTGCTTCTGCTGGTTTAGCAGTCAACTTACACTGCATTTGTTTCATTTGGAGAAAGGAGATAACTACATATGATAATTAAGTCATCAATTTCTTCCAATTTCTACGATACTTCAGAAATCATACTGTTCTAATACATCACATTTTTCTCATGCATCACTGGTGGACCCTCATGACTTTACATAGTCAGTACTAAGAACAATATATAGTATTTTACACAATGAAGTATTACACATAATTTGTTCATTCAGAGTCCAAAAGGGAGAGCTGTGTTTCAAAACTACTTACAAAACTTACACATGACTTGGATGACCTCCGCAGGTCTCTTTCAACCCTATAATTATGTGAGGGCACAAGTTCTTAGGCAATTATAGAAAATTTGTCTGTTATGTTTATCAAATTATTTTCCATACCCAAAGAGAATAATATATATTAATGGTAGGGATGTAATGCTATAACCGTTTAAACGGTTAACCAATAAGCAAGAGTGTATCGACTACCATAACAGTTAAATGCTGGCTCCTGGCCCCACTCACTGCTGCCCCGCACTGCTGCCCCTGATACAGCCAAGTGCCCCTAACCACTGATACAGAGGCAGCAGTGCAAGGCAGCAGGAGGCTTCCCATGAGTGGGGCTGGGAGCCAGCATGTAATTGTTAAGGTAGCCAATAAGCTCACGTATCAGAGGCAACTGCATGAGGTGGCAGCTGACTTCCCAGGAGCTGGGCAGCAAGCAGAAGCTGATGTGGCCAGGCAGCTTAAAAGCACACTAGCTCTTGAAGAGCCAGCTACCACCCTATGTTGCAGGCTCTGTAGTATAAAACTTAGAGAAGCGGGCCAGCAGCCAGAATATGGCTCCTGGCACGCACTGGCTGCCAGCCCCACTCTTGGAGAGTAAGCTGAGCTGCAGGCACTACAGTATAAGCTTCATGCTGCAGAGCCCACAGTGTGTAACCATGCAACTGCTAAGATTTTCAGTGGTTACAAGGTTACTTAATTATCCGCTTTTTAATATTCCTAATTAATGGCAGCTTACCTTATGAGAGACACTACTACCAGTCAGTATAGCAGGATATGATTGTGCTTTATAAACACACCCGGGGCAGGGCAAGAGCTACTGAAGTTAAAGGACAGTGTTGGCACAAGTACAAATGGGTATAAACTGGCCATTGACAAATTTAGGTTGGAAATCAGAAAATTTTAACCATCAGAGAAGTGAGGTTCTCGAACAGCCTCCCAATAGGAATAATAGGGGCAAAATATCTAACTAATTTTAAGGTGGCATTGCATACATTTATGAACAGGATTGATATAACTGTGATAACAGGGTATTGGATTCAATGACCCAGTCTTATGTCATGTCATCAGTGTACAAGGATACACAAAGAGACAGTAATTGCTCTGAATGAATTTACAATCAACTGCATACTCGCGGATGAACTCCTGAATCCACATGGAGCCCCACTGATTTCAGCAGGTTCCTCAAGGGCATACAGATTCACCCAGACAGACCAAATTGCAAGACTAGAGCCTTAAGGCTAGATCCACAGTGGGGACTTAAATGATCAGCATTTTAATGCTCTGTCTAGGTGCCCTTTTGCTTAGCAGAGTCCACAGACTCAAGTTAGACTCCTAGGCTCTCTATACAATACGGCTGTGTCTAGACTGGCAAGTTTTTCCGCAAAAGCAGCTGCTTTTCCGGAAAAACTTGCCAGCTGTCTACACTGGCCGCTTGAATTTCCGCAAGAACACTGACTATCTCATGTAAGAAATCAGTGCTTCTTGCGGAAATACTATGCTGCTCCCGCTCGGGCAAAAGTCCTTTTGCGCAAAAGCGTTTGCGCAAAAGGGCCAGTGTAGACAGCTCAGATTTGTTTTGCGCAAAAAAGCCCCGATCGCGAAAATGGTGATTGGGGCTTTTTTGCACAAAAGCGCATCTAGATTGGCCATGGGTGCTTTTGCAGAAAAGCGTCCATGCCAATCTAGATGCTCTTTTCCACAAATGCTTTTAACGGAAAACTTTTCCGTTAAAAGCATTTGCGGAAAATCATGCCAGTCTAGACGTAGCCTAAATGGAGAGAGTTAGGGACTTAAACTAGCCAGTATAAAATGCCAAGGTGAGGGTAACACAGCCATGGGCAGACCTACTAGCTGGAGCCAGAGTCCACAGTTATGAGACAGGACTTAATAGGGATATAAGCGACTACCCAATAAGCATAGTAATTGAGCGACTACTTGACTAGTCACTTCCCACTCCCTGCTGCTTTTGTATCAGGAGCAGCAAGGGGAGGAGAACCAGGAGCCAATGCTGAGGGGAACTGGCTTAAAAGCCAGTCTCTGTGATGTGGGGGGCAGTGTCAGGGGAGGCAGAGCGTACTTTAAAGGTAGTAAGAGCTCACATGCCTTAAAAACATGCCTGCTTTTCTGACATTTTTTTTGGAAAAGTGGACTCATTCTTTGGAGGCAGCAGAGCTTTCCCGGGATACCAGAGGTATCCCAGAAAAGTTCTGCAGTCTAGACATGCCCACAGTAATCTTACAATTACACCCAGTTTAGACATACCCACAGTAATCTTACAGTTTACCACCAGTTTAGATGTACCCACAGTAATCTTACAATTACCCCCAGTTTTTCAGCATTTGTTAATTTTTCAACAATCTTGCTCAGCGTTTTCTTCTCAAACTTATCCTGTCTAGATGGAGATCATACTTGAACACAAATTATGCACAGACAGACTATCATCATCTGTGAAATTTTACTTTTTCTATGAATAACACAAAAAAATACTACAACAGTAAACTTCCGATAATCCGGCACCTTTAGGACCCAGGGGGTGCCGGATTATCAGATATGCCGGACTATCAGAAGGGGGGGCTATGAGGGGTTTGGGGTGGGGTGGGAGGGGATGCCACCCCCGACCCCTCATAGCCCCCCCTTCCAATCGTCTGGCTCTGCCCCAGGCATCCCCGATTCCGCTGCTGCCGGGCCAGTTCAACAG